CCTTGGGGAAACTCAATAATTTTTGGCTTATAGTTTGATTTATGGTTTTAGGTACCTCAGAGGATAGGGGCAAGACAAAGACTTGATCGTACACATCCTTCTGATTTTATGAGACTTGATTTTAGGATACTCTAATTTTTTATTTGACATTTGGAAAGCAAGTTTTGAAAACAATTATGGCTTTGGTTTTTTTTTTTTTTAATTTGAAAATTTTTACCATAATTTTTAAGATGCTACATAAAATTATAATTATAAAAAATAAATGATAAGAACATCAAAAAATAAATAAGTAAGGATGATATAGACATTTCAGGTTGAAGAGAGACCAAAATTATAACAAAAAAGATGCCATATGAATGGTCCTACCGCCTTAGTGAAAAACAAAACATAAGGATAAAACTAGTGAATCTGGCCGAACCATAAGGACAATTCACGTAGTTTCCTCTTTAGTTTTTCATAAAAAAAGTCTTGAGGAAGCGTTTTTGCCATCTTCTAGAGGGATCAATAGGTCAAACTCTTGAAAGAGAAAAGCTTTAATCTCATGATCCAAGGCACTACTACCATAGTAGTCTTTCCATAGAGAGAAAGGACATGTCACACCTCGCTAAAGTGGAAACATGAGGTGTGGCAGTACAAAGGGTTTCATAGCAAAAGTTAAAAGACAACACGAACCATAGTATTAAAATAATTACAAATTTACAATGAGTTTAAACAAATTTTAAATGAAATTACAATGTAAACTGAAATACAACACATGCGAATACTCCTATAAGTGAATTGTCCCTAAGTACCACTTACTCGATGATTTCTGAAAAAACATGTAAAACAAGCGTCAACTATAAAAATAGTTGGTGAGTACTCACAAGTTTATAACATAATATAGTTTGAAATTCATGATAATCTGAATATTGATAACAGTTTCCTTAAACAAATATTCATTGCTAAAATAAGTAAATAATTTTTCGTGAATAAAAGTTCGTTGCTAAAGCGAGTAATAAAGTTTCCATAAATAGAAATTATTGCAAAAATGAGTAATAACTTTGCATAAACAAAGTTCGTTGTCATCATGAGAGATAAAGTATGTTGCCAAATGAGATGCAACGTTCATATGCTTATGGGAAATAAAGTTTCCATAAATAGAAATGTATTGCAAAAATTAGTAAATAAGTTTGCATAAACAAAGTTCATTGTCATCATGAGAGATAAAATATGTTGCCCAATGAGGTGCAATGTTTATACTCTCATGGGAAATAAAGTTTCAATAAATAGAATTTTATTTCAAAAATTATTAAATAAGTTTGCATAAACAAAGTTCATTGTCATCATGAGAGATAAAGTATGTTGCCCAAATGAGATGCAACGTTCATATTCTCATGGAAATAAAGTTTGTTGCTAAAACGAGATACCAAGTTCGTATGTGAATAATTATTATACCATGAGTTCACAACCTAAGCTTAATGACCGAGGGTGCCCTCTTCTATATCTATCGCTAACATAGGGAAATATGGTAAAATTCACTCAAGCGAATCGCGCGAGTGAGGAGTTGTCTACCTCCTAATAGCGTTATCTATAATAGCCATGGGCTCAAATGAGTTAAAGAGTTATGTGAATTGATTTCAGGGACTTAAACGCGATAAGGCCTCATAAATTAACAATAGCATACACATACATAGCAAAATGTAGCAACCAAGTTTGATACAAGTCAAATTCAAAGACAATGAATAATAAACAGTTTTTGGACATGCTTTTCCACCCCCAAAACGTAAAAACCGAAAATATGGGAGTTGTAAATACTCACAATGCATTGAGATGATACAAGTGTTGCCTTGAACTATGTTTCACTCGTACAAATATTGTTTTCCTACAAGGATGTTACACATTAATGAGTCTCTGATTGAAATCTAATACTAGTATACTTACGACTACAATAGAATTATGTCAATAATGTGTCAAAATTTAATATTGTTAAGTTACAAAAGTTTTTCTGAAATGGTGAAATTTTATAACATATATGATTAATATAATTTTTGGATATTATTTTAAAGAATTTTGTAATATTAATTGAGGGTATTTCAATACATTTAAAAGTGTTTTAAACTCCTAAAATCCAAAAATATTATCAATCAGTTTCCAAAATTCATCAAATTTTACTTTTTTGTTCCAAATACAGTATAGGTCTTCCAGAAAATATTCCTTGAATTTTTGATGTGATTAACTGTTTTTCCAAAATGTTAATCCTTCATATCAATATAAATTCGTGAAAAATATTATCTAGATAATAAAAATTCCCAAACTTTTATAATACTTCAATTAAACATTCTTAAGCTGAAAAAAATATAAAAATGAGTTTCTAAATAGTTTAACCCGATTTTATGATTTTTTTTGCATTTGTTATAACAAAAATGGAAATAAATAGAGACAGTTTCCAAAGTTGCCAAAAAATTTTGTAACACTATTATTATACATATAGAAACTTTGAAGAATATAAAAGATATTTTTCAATCAATTTTGGTATTTTTCTTTGTGTTATTCTCTTGAATAATCATTAATCAGTGAATAATTAACAAATAGCTCATTTAAATTACCAAAAAAAATTTAAACTTCATTTACAGTGCCCCCAATCCAAGAAAAATACCAATGGTGATTTTTATATAGTGTAATCTGATTTTGTGGATTTAAGTGTATTTAATCTTATAAAATAGAAGAAAAACAACATACTGATTAAAAAAATCATGCAAATTTTTATTTAGCGTTCTAATATACTGTAAGGTCTTCTGGTAAATTTTCATGAATTTTGGATGAGTAGAAATATTTTTCCCATTATTAGTCCATTATAAATACAAAAATAGGGGAAAAATAGTAATGCATTATGAAAAATTCTGAAAATATGTTTTCTGAGTACTCTACATGAGGTAGGATATGCGAAAAATATTATATACCCTTTTTACATTCCTTAACATGGTTTTATGATTTATTAGAATTAAACAAAAATAAAATTCAAAACCATACTAAATAGTAACAAAAATCAATGAAACTCACTGAAATGTTATCATTTACTTTAGGGGTCATCGACGAAATTACCTAGGATTTATAGACCTCATAAAGTATTTTATATGAATTATTTCCCTATTTTCTTGCAATAAATATAATAATTCGAGAAAAATGAATTATTTTATGAAAATTTGTAGAATATCTCATCATTTTGTTGGTGGAATTCTGGGAAAAAATGGATTTGATCAGAAAAGAAGTTTTAGATATTTATTTGGGAATAAATTCTTTATGAACCTATTTGAAAGCTTTTAACAACAAACTTTGATAATCAAGCCTATAAGCTTGAAGATCATCACATGTGTGTTGGTTTTTAGGGGAAATACTACCTCCAACATCATAAAAATCATGGTTATGAAAATATGATTCATAATCCATCCATAGAATGGTGTAGAAGAAGAAGAAGATATGTATGAAAACTTGAGATTTTGAAGGAATAATGAAGTAGAAATCGAGTTTACCTTCAAGAACACCACAAGATGATGAAGATTTAGAGTTCAAGGTGTGTTCTTGGACTCATTTTATGGAATAAAATTCAAGGTTGAAGGAGTGAGGAAGAGATAATAGAGAGAAAATGAAGTGGAGGTGTTGGAAAAATGAGAGAGAATGAGGGATATGGAGTGTGAGGTTTGTGTAAATGTTTTAGGAAGGAAAATATTGAAGGATGAGAGAGGGTGGCCGACTTTTGAGGGTATAATGCCCTCCCTCTCTTTTAAGTTTCTAAAAATTTCAATTATTTTATAAAAGTTTCAAAGTTTTTATAAAATATACACCCAAACCAAGATTTTTTTCATGAAACCTTGATTTTTGACCTATAAATTATAGGTAACTGTTAATAAATTAATTTTTATTATCCTTTAGGATATTTTCCTGAATTGAATTATTTTGAAGTGATATTATAAGGTTCATAGCAAACTTTATGGTGTTTTAGGTGTAAAAGTTTGTAAATTTGAGTTTACGGCTTTTTAGGGTTTTTCGGATTTTGCTACTTTGAATATCAAATAAATTGAATCTTTGAGACTTCAAATTAATTTTGTGTTTTCTAAATCTTATTCTAGTTAGAAATAATGTTTGTAATTTATTTTTATCGGTTTATTGGCATTTTATGTAGTGATTATGAAATCCAACGAAATTGAGGAATCAAGTATACTAGCCCTAGTCTTCAACTTTGACTTAGGTTTCTATGAGACTTTGACCTAATTTCTAATACTAGGTCAAGTGCAAGAAGGGTGTATATGATTAATGAAATGGTGCTCAAGTCAAGAAATGACCCGAATATGGATAATCATTACAGTTAAGTAGTTGTAGAATTCACAATCAATGTGAAATCCAAGTACACTATCCATTGTTTCTAATCGTTTCCAAGTTTCTATTAGGTTATAACTTAGCTTTTAATTACTAAGTGTAGTATGTCTTGTGCCTACACATGAAACTAAGGTTATCAAATCTAGATCTGACTCGAATTTTAACGGTTGTCACAGGACATCTCCTTTTGACCCAAAAGAGAGGTTTATAACAAAAATTAAGAACATAAAGAGATGTCTAAGAATCTTGATTTCTACAAGGAAAATCAAGAATAACTAGGATTGAAGGATGCTTAATGTTGGTGGAATTTTTGTTCAAACATGATATTTAGTCAACGCAAGCTTGTGTAACGAATAGATTCTTGGATTAGGTGCTAAAAAGATAGACACGATACGACTACCGGTTATATCATACATGTCACTTCGTTTTTGTGGAATTAGTTTTGAGCACCACATAATTAAATCATTGATAAAAGTCCATTAGTTTGTTGAGCTAAAAATTACATCTTAATCAAACTCTTATCCATTCTCAAAGAGCTAAAACCGAACACAACTGTCACACTAAACAACTAAATTATTCACATTGTAGATAAACGCGACAAGAGAATACTGAAAACACCATGGAAACAAACAATAAAGCTACCCAAATCAATGCAAAAAGAAAGGAAAAAAGCTTTTCAGGTTAGGCTCATCCATGAGGGTAGTGCATCGCAGGTTGCATCTAGAAAACCATGTTCTGAGATGCACACAAAGATTCATGTAGACCACCACCACCACCCCCACCACCACCATCACCACCACCACTGCCACCAAAAGCACAAAATGAGTTCCCACCATATCTTGGAGACATGAAATAGCTCCATGTGTTTGATTGAAAGCCATTGCGGTGTTTTCGTTATTTGGTTGATTCCATGGGACTTTACATTGCTCCGGTGAAGCTGTTGTTTTGTACTTCGGTGAAGTGATGTGGTTTTCATTAAGATTTACAATTGTTATATCATGAATACTTGATATTCTCTTATCTTTCCCTTCGGAAAGTTGCTGGATAAAGTACTTATGAGCATGGATTCTGACTTGAGTAGGTGTTCTTATACCACGAAATTTTGAGAAATATTTCTCCACTCTCCTTTTCCGTAGTTCTTTAGGCCCAATAGAAACAACCTATGATTGTGTTTCCTAAATATCGATGTCAAATTTAATCCACTTAATATGGGATCTCGAATCAATACAAAAAATATCGCTTGCTAAAAGAACAGAGTGAGTAAAGAAACTTACTTATGTTCTTCTTCTGTCCAAGGAACACCCTCTTTCCTTTCTTGTTCTAAAGGCCGACCAGCGGCCACCACAGCCACGGTGGTTGTTGGGTCAAAAATATTGGTTTATACTTTAATTTTCTAGGCTTTAATGGTTTACAGTCCATGTGGTGTTTGCAGATGGGTGTGTTCACAGCCGTGAACCTGTTCACAGCCGTGAACCTGTTCACAGCTGGTTGTTCCATATATATAGTTTGTTAGTGAGTCATAGAGAGTGTACAGTCAAGAGAGATAGAGAGAGAGAGAGAGAGAGAACTGAGCATAAGTATGTGTAAGTGTGTGAATCTTGTGTAAGGAACTTCATTCTAATCAAATCATACAAGATTCATATTCTTCTTCTTCTTCTTCTCTTCTATTTTGATTTGACATCATCCGTTTGATTGGGATTCCGCACCATCAAACGGATCTGATTGATACATAAGCAGATTTGGGACTTACAATTGGTATCAGAGCTTGGATTGTATCAATCATTTTGCCAGATCTGAAGCGTATTTGATCTTATTTTTGAAGGATTTTTGCGTTTTTGGATAGATCTCTGAAAATTGGGGGGGGGGGGGTTGTTCTTCGTGTTTTTGTTAAAAACAAGTTCTTGATCGAGTTTTGGAGCAAAAAGGGTAAAAAAAACGTCTATTTTTTCGTAACTGTTGAAAGGTTTACGACACTTGAAGGGTTCACAACCATTGAAGGGTTTACGTTCAGGGTTTCTCGGCGGCGGCCGTAATCACGAATTAGGGTTTCTTGGACGTTTACGGCTCAGAGTTTTCGGTCAGCCTTGTTCTTGGTCCAGCATTTTCGGCCCAGCGACAAGTGTTCGGCCCAACTCATATTCGGATCCCAACTTCGAATACACGGACCTGCAGTAAATAAATCAAAAAATTCTTGGGCTTGCTAAGATTCAAACTCGCGCCACCCCCTTCCTCAACCAAGCACCTTACCAGTTGATCTAACATGCCACATGCTTCATTACTTCGAAATTTAATTCAAAAGGACTCTCTTTCGCACCTAATTTCACATTTTTAACATTTTCAGCCCAAAAATCAATTTCCTTTTATTTTTAAATTCCATTTTCTTCCAAAAACTTTAGTTTTTAATTTTTGACTTTCTAAATTGACTTTTGACCTCAAATTTTGACTTTGACTTTTCAAGTTTGACCTTTGACTTTAAACATTGACTTTCTCGTTTAACTTTCAAATATTCAAATTTAGTTTTTAGGTTTGACTTTTCAAGTTTGACTTTTTAAGGTTGACTTTCTTAGTTTATAGTCAAAGGGCATATTTTTAAAACAATGAGTTCCTCACAAATTCTAGTCAATGAAGTTTCATGCTGTCAAACTTGCATTAAAACTGTTAATTTTGTACGTGAACAAATTGAATTGATAAAGAGTGAAAACGAGGACCTAAAATATGAGAAGTATGAACTTAAGAAAGACTAGAGACCATTAAAAGAGAAATTAGAGGCCAAAATCAAGGACTTTAGAACACTTCAAGAAGAATATTACAACAAATGTGAAAATTCTAACTATATTAAGATACAACTTGCCTCTGTGACTGCCGAGCTTGACACATTGAAAAACAAATTTGAAAAATGCAAATTTTAATTTTAGAAAATATGATGTGTCAAGTGAGGTAGTTGCCTCGATGATTGAGAAGAAATTAAAATTTAAAGATAATCAATCTAAGGGGCTAGGGTATCACAGTGTTCCACCTTCCTTTAATGAAAACTATACCGCACTCTTTGAAACTAATAAGGAAGAGACACCTACTCAATTTGTCCCATTCCCTGAACCAGTTCCAGTCAATACTGAACAATCAGGGCCAACTGAGGGTGTTGAGGTGAAGAATACTGATGTTTCTACTTCCTGTGCAGGTAAAGTAGCGGAAGATGAGAACAAAGAGAACACTATTGAACAAACCAATGAATTCCTGAACTTTGAATATGTTGCTTCTAATTTTGTTGCCTCTAATACACCCACTGTTGACAAATACATGCCACCAAAATAAGCGAAGTAGACTACTTGTTGCAAGTGTGCATGTGGGAACAACCAAAAACAAGTCAAGGGCACGCCACCAGGAGCAGGAAGAAACAACTTCCCAGTGAAGAAAAAGACTTGCTTTCATTGTGGAACACCTGGACACATTGCTAGAAATTGTCCTAATCGCACATACGTTCCCTGCTACGCACAAGGCTGGAAGAACGCACCAAGAGGGAGGTTTTCCAAAAGAAACCCTTCGAGGCCACATTCAAACCATGGCGACTAGAATGCCATGAAGGGCGAGAGTTCAACTCCCAAGGCCATGAAATCAACTCTCAACAAACAAGAAGGGTATGCCGACCAAGAATTCCAATGCAAGAGATGCTTCGGCAAAATCAAGATTAGTCAAATCAAAGTCATCTCAACGATTGGCTTCCAATTCAAAAGCAAGTACCGAGGCACCCATCGGATTGAAAAAGAAATGGGTTAAACCCAACTACAGATGGGTACCAAAGGTTCAATCTCCTAAATATCCTAATGCTTCTAATATCTCTACATATTCTGTTTGAGATAAGCAGCATATGTCGTGGGAGAGAGTTTCTTGCGTAGATGACAAAGGTCAACCCAGTTTCAAAATGGACTGGTTTCCAAAGACCAACTGATTCCACTCTCTGTCGGAGCAGCAATGTAGGCATATCATCAGACTTCGGTTTGTTGGTAGTGATTATTCCAGGCACATGATAGGAGGCATCTGCAACTGTGCAACACTCAGAACTTTGTTTGAGAGTATGTGTCCTTTGCGGGAAAGGAAGAAAGGAAGGGGTCACTCATTGGGATTGTGCTTAACGATGTGAAGAATTTTCACATATGTTCTGAGATTATATGTGATGTTCTTAGACCTTCTGGATGCAAATTCTATCGATAACTTACGGTTTGAGTTTTCTTCTTGATACTCATGAGTTATCTTACACTGATTCATTTTGAAGATAATTATTTTCTCTCTTATAGTTTTTCTTTAGTAGGTATTGTTTGGGAAGTGATATCAAGAGAGTGATAACGGGCAGTCGAAACCAATGTAAGGTATTGAATCTGAATTGTCTAGACTCTATGTTCAATGTGCTAGTTTATTTCTGTTTTATTTCTTTTTTAGAAAAATCAAAAATCCAAAAATATTGTGTGCTAAGTTTTCTTTTAGTTTTTTTTTTTGTCTTGAAAAGTAAATTCAGATATAGATGAGACTTATGGAGACTGTATCGATATTTTATGATCTGAAGCTTCATCCATGAACATCGAAGAATTCTCATTCGAAGGAGCAAGAAATGAAGACTATTCTTTCAGCATTCTATCCTTCAACCTGAGAAGCAAGGTGACACTGCATTTGAAGATTATGTGATAGATTGCATTGAAGCCTCCCTAATCAATTTGTTGTTATTCTTGTACCTGTTGAAGTGATCCAGAAGATTAGTTCTCTCTATTATTCTTTCTGAAGATTCTGAAGCTGAATGCGCCATCTTTCAAGAATCTTTTCAAGAAGCCTCCTCACCCAATGTGTGTTTAGAGCCAAATTATGAAGGAAATCCCAACTACTCAAGATGAAGTCATTCATTGAAGATTCATCAAGTTCATCTTGAAGCTGTGAAGAATTTGAAGATTAATGCTGAAGCCAAGCTCCCAATGAAGATTGACAAGAAAAGCCAAATACTTTTTAGGGGGAGCTTGTTGGGTTAGTTAGAAAAGAAAGCTATAAACCAAGGGGGAGATTGTTGGGTCAAAAATATTGGTTTATACTTTACTTTTCTAGGCTTTAATAGTTTACAATCCATGTAGTGTTTACGACTGGGTGTTTTCACGGCCAGGTGGTGTTCACGGCTAGTTGTTCCATATATATATAGTGTGTTAGTGAGTCATAGAGAGTGTACGGCCAAGAGAGAGAGAGAAAGGAGCATAGGTATGTGTAAGTGTGTGAATCTTGTGTAAGGAACTTCATTCTAATCAAATCATACAAGATCGATATTATTCTTCTTCTCCTTTTCTCCTATTTTGATCTAGCATCATCCGTTTGATTGGGATTCCGCACCATCAAACGTATCTGATTGATACACAAGCAGATTTGGGACTTACAACGATGATAGATGATCTATTCCCTTGTGCACCATATGGCGGTGGTGAGAGAAACACATTAGCGCTATTGTTTTTTTCCCCATTCTAAAGTGAAAGGAGAAGTGATATTGTTATACCCATATTTTGGATAATACCCTGCTTCGATACTACTAACATCATCCTCCAACTCCTTATACAGCCGCATAACATCCGTGACCGTCTTCCTCGGAACCATCTACGCCACTCGCTGCCACCGATCAGGGGTATCCTTATCAAACTTGGCAAGAGCGTTCTCAAATAATTTGTTCTCAACAGGAGTCCAAATTGTGCTCATCCATGAAAACAACCAATAAAACTACCCAAATCAGTGCAAAAAGAAAGGAAAAAAGCTTTTCAGGTTGCGCTCATCCATGAGGGTAGTGCATTGCAGGATGCATCTGGAAAACCATGTTCTGTGATGCATTGTAAGATACATGTAGACCACCGTCGCCACCCCCAACACCACCACCACCGCCACCACCAAAAGCACCAAACGAGTTCCCACCTTATCTTGGAGACATGAAAATAGCCCCATGTGTTTAGTTGAAATCCATGGTGGTGTTTTCGTTATTTGGTTGATTCCATGGGACTTTACATTGCTCCGGTGAAGCTGTTGTTTTGTACTCCGGTGAAGTGATGTGCTTTTCATTAAGATTTACAGTTGTTATATCGTGAATACTCGCTCTTCTCTTATCTTTCCCTCCAGAAATTTATTGGATAAAGTACTTTTGAGCATGGATTACGAATTGATTAGGTATTCTTGTACCATGAAATTTCGAGAAATATTTTTCCAGTCTCCTTTTCCGTACTTCTTTAGGCCCAATAGAAACAACTTGTGATTGAGTTTCCCAAATATCGATGCCAGATTTAATCCACTCAATGTGGGATATCAAATCAATACAAAAAATATTGCTAAACATAGTGAATAAAGAAACTTACTTATGTTCTTCTTCTGTCTAAGGAACACCCTTTTTCCTTTCTTGTTCTAGAGGCCAACCAGCGGCCACCACAGCCACGACGACGATATATGATCTTTTCCCTCGGGCACCATATGGCGGCGGTGAGAGAAACCCATCAACCTTATTGTTGTTTCCCCATTCTAAAGTGAAAGGAGAAGTGTTACTGTTATACCCATATTTTAGATAAAACCCTGCTTCGATACTACTAACATCATCCTCCAACTCCTTATACTGTCGCATAACATCCATTGCCGTCTACCCCGGAACCATCTCCGCCACTCACTGTCACCGATCAGGGGTATCCTTATCAAACTTGGCAAGAACACTCTCAAATAATTTGTTCTCAACATGAGTCCAAATTGTGCTCATCCATGAAAATGACCAATAAAACTACCCAAATCAATGCAAAAAGAAAGGAAAAAAGCTTTTTAGGTTGGGCTCATCCATAAGGGTAGTGCATTGCAGGTTGCATCTGGAAAACCATGTTCTGAGATGCATTGTAAAATTCATGTAGACCACCGCCGCCACCCGCACCACCACCCCCACCACCGCCGCCACCAAAAGCACCAAATGAATTCCTACCATATCTTGGAGACATGAAAATAGCCCCATGTGTGGTTGAAATCCATGGTGGTGTTTTCATTATTTGGTTGATTCCATGGGACTTTACATTGCTCTGGTGAAGCTATTGTTTTGTACTCCGGCGAAGTGATGTGGTTTTCATTAAGATTTACAGCTGTTATATCGTGAATACTCGCTCTTCTCTTATTTTTCCCGCCATAAAGTTGTTGGATAAAGTACTTTTGAGCATGGATTGAGACTTGAGTAGGTGTTCTTATACCACGAAATTTCGAGAAATATTTCTCCAGTCTCCTTTTCTGTACTTCTTTAGCCCCAATAGAAATATCCTGTGATTGGATTTCCTGAATATCGATGTCAAATTTAATCTTCTCAATGTGGTATCTCGAATCAATACAACAAATATCGATGAAGATGGTGAAAGGATTATAGTTTCCAACTTCATTGAAATCCAATTAAAAAACCCAGAATCAAGATCAAAATTTTAAAGGTTTTTCTTCAAGGGGGGGATCGAAATGTGAAAGGGCTTTACAATGGAAATATGAGGGTTAAAGCAAGAACCATATATTTTTTGTGAATTGAATCAAAATAGCTATTCTTCTTTTGTTTGCCTCCACAGCCAACCACCCTGTGGAATCTTTAAAAGACCAACTTTTCGAAATTAAATGATACCCCAAACATAGAGGGGTATGAGAGGTATCAAGAAAAGCAAATCCACTCTCTTTCTCTCTCTTCCCTCTCTTTTTAGGAAGAGATGAACAAAAACCTAGAAATGTTGAACAAGATCTAAACCCATTATTGCCAAGAACGCAGTGTTGGTTGCTTCAAGATTGGAAAATATCGACATCCCAATTAGGAAAGTTGGCTGGTTGAATGATTGAGAGTATGAGAAAAGGGATTTTAATTCCTCAAAAGCTGGAAATGGAAAAGAGTTGCAGAGAGGTAGAGAGGAGAATCTTGAGATGAATCCTTGGATTCTGTGAAGTGAGTAAAGATTGGTGCTTTTCCCCTATTTTTCTTTAGGCCTATGAAGCTACAAAGGGGGTAAGGAGAAACAACCATACCCCTCTTGAACGAGTGAATCTAAAGTCTCTTTAGAGAAAGAACAAGAGTACAACACATGTGGGAGGATAAGGTGGTGGAAGATGATTGGATGAGATGGGGTTTAGTAGACAATGCCAATTTAGTATTTTAATAGGCACTCCCTCTACAATGTTATATGGATTTTGTTGGTAATTTCATTTTAATAATGCTTTTTTTTTTTATTGTAAACAACAATTAACATAGCCATAATATTGTAATCTTTTTTATGTGGAACTTATTTCATTTTTTCTTATTTGCTTATTGTTTTTTTCCTTTTATTTACATATATTAAACATAGATTTATAACTTTGTTTATTGTTTAAAATCATTGTATGTTTGGTTATCATTTTTTAAACCATGTTCTTTTATATATCATATATTTGCAAAAATAAATAAATAAATACGTCTTTTCTTTAAACCACTAAACCACCTACATTGTCATGTTAATAAAGAGTATCTTGTGAAAAATATACAATGACACAATTAAACCACCTACAATTCTTAATATATCTCAAATTTATAAAAGTAAATGTAAAAAATAATATAACAATAAATCATTTTTAATCATTTACATTATTTTTTAAAACTAAAAATATTAATACTTTAAGTATATTTTATTTTTTTATTTTTTCAAACTTTTCAGAAAAACACACATATTTGCAGGTTATACAATCTTCACTTATATAAATTTATTATAATAATTTTTTAAATCCAAATATTCAAAAATTAAAATAGGTTTTAATAGTATGATTTTTAATCAGATCATGTAATTGCTTTATATGCCGATTATGTGTTTTTTGCAAATATATTTTGTGTTTTATATTATTAATAAATGAATATTGATCAACTACAATAAATTCAATTAAATGACCGTGTTATTCAAATTATAATATTATACTAGTTTAGAACCCGTGAGAATCACAGTTATACAAGTAATTAAAGTTTCATATTAAAAAATCAAAATTATTAATCAATTATTTTAAATAAATTATTATTTAAAAGATTTTTTTAATTATATAAAATTATAATCATTAATTTAAATAAATACGTGAATTTATACCACCTTATAATTTATATTAATTTTATTTATTTGTTAATCTAAGGTTATTAATTTAATACAATTAAAGTGAAATTAAAATTTGAAATTAAAATTTAATGTAATTAGGTGGGAAATTTAAAATTTGAAATGAATAATTAATATGCTGGCAAATGATATTATATGAGACATATAATATTAATAAGATGTTCTAATATAATGATACTTATTAATACAAGAATAAACATATTCATTTATTAGAATATAGATTTAGTGTTGCTAAATAAATAGTATAATTTCAAATTAATATTATATTATTTATCAACATAAATTGATATAATATGTGTTGTTAGATTAAGCAATTTTAAACCAAATTTGGTGTAAAAGTTATGTTTTATTGTTAAGTCGAAGATACGGTTAACATAAACCTAGTATAAAGTTTAAGTTTTCTTATTGATCGGAGATGCTCTTAGTTAGGGGCGAGTATTTTGACTGAATTGTATTAGACCAATACTTGTACAAAATTGATTTTGCTAAAATTGGTAGACTTTGGAACAGACCTATTGATGTTTATTAAGTCCATGTCTAGGGTTAGTTCCTAGTTCTTAGAGATAACAATGAGTATTTGGACCGGATTGGACCTGATCGACTTTTAGACCAGACTGATTTTGCAGAAATTAATGGATCTTGGACCGGACCTGTTGAGACTTATCGAGTCCAGGTCCAGGTCCGATTCCCCATCAGATCAAGTTCAGAGATCCAAATGCTCACCCCTACTCTTAGTATAATAATAATAATAATTTTATAGTTAATTACAATAAGGTAGCTATCTTTAACAACACATATTTATCAAATATTTTAGCTATATGATTATATTATTCATAATAATAAAGGCATAACAAGTAGGCATTCACTTAGCATGGTACAATCCTCAATCTTAAAAGGTTGAGTTCGCATTAAACCGGTTGAACTTGGTGTCTATTGAATTTCTTTTGTTTAGATTTGAGATTTCACAAATGTAACAAATTTATTTGAAGAGGAATATGCAGAAAAAAACCCTTAAAATTTGGCTCTATTGAAAAAAAGTTACCCACAATTTTTATTTTTTTATTTTTTCAATTTAAGCATTGAATCCAACTATTACTTGTAATTTGGCTAAATTTACAAGTTATCATAAACAATAGCATGTTTCGATCGTTAAGTTATAAACAAAATATCAATAGTGACTTTTTTGTCGATTGATCAAAATATAAGTATTTTTTTTCAATGCATTGAAAAAAATTTACTTATATTTTGACCTACCGACAAAAAAGACATCTTTGATATTTTGTTTATAATTTAACCATCGAAACGTGCTATTGTTTGCGGTAACTTGCAAATTGAATTAAATTAATAACATATTACAATGGTTAAATTGCAAAAAATTAAAAAAAATTAAAAAATAAATCAATGTTGAAATTTTTATCAATAAAGCCAAAATAGAAATATTAAGACTTTTTAAGCGTATTTCTTTTATTTGAATATCTATAAAAACTTGAATATCCTAAGATTCTTTAAGTTTATTTTATATAAATATATAAACAACTCATATAAAGAAATGTGGAATATGATACTTACCCACCGCAGCACATTCACAATGAGATTGATGTGACAAAGTGTCTCCACTATTCTAAGGTTATTTCATTTTCTACTTATTGACCTCCAATCGGTATTTGGTTTACAACTTGACCTCGTAGGGCCTCCCTCATCCTACGAACAAACTCCTACAAATTGATTCTCAAAACAACGAACATCTATTCGGTTTACGAATGAAAGAAGTTTTACATAAGATTGGAAATTGGCGAATTTAATGTTTTTAAAGTTTAGTATTAAGTTCGTGATTTTTTTGAGAAAAAAAAATGGTAAATTGCATTGTTTGAAGTGTAAACTTACCTCAATGTTTATCTTAAAGGGTCAATTATTGAACTGTATCATCCCAAAATTCAATGCAAAAGATTTCATTTTTAATTAAGTTATTATAAAACCATAAGTATAAAATCATCAATAATAACATTCCATATTAAAACCCAACTGTCAATAATTAAAGCATGTTGTCATAAAATAATTTCAGAGTGCAATTCCAAAGATATCAAGTGCGAAAAATATAGTGTGGTGCGTTGTGATTGAGCCGACTCCTTTCCTTTGAAAATGAAGTACCTGAAACCAAAACTGTAAACCGTAAGCACAATATTTAGTGAGTTCCCCAAAGCATATCCCACACACAATCCACATATCATATTAGCTATAAAAACTATCTCTACCACATAACACATATCACCTTAACCATAGAAGTTATCTCTACCATATAACACATATTACATTAGCTGTAAAATCTATCTCTACCACATACCACATATCATATTAGCTATAAAGGTTATCTCCACCATTAGCCATAAAGGCTATCTATTCCATTAGCCATAAAGGTTATCTCTACCTTTAGTCATAAATGTTATCTCTTCCATTAGCCATAAAGGCTATCTTTACAATTAGCCATAAAGACTATCTCTACCATTAGCAATAAAGGTTATCTCTACCATTAGCAATACAGGCTGTCTCTACCATTAGCCATACAGGCTGTCTCTACCACATATCACAACATAAATATCCTACACCTCTACTCAACAAGTATACCAACTATCATAAAATGGGCCGGCCTTGGTGCCTTAGACCCAATGGTATGGTGAGAAGACTCACCTGGCACTGCCGAAGTCCCGTGGATGAACTCTAACTGCTGGTTGACAGATTCCCTAACTACCAACATCAAACAATACCCAATTAATAATTGGGTTCCAACTCAAAATCATACATCCATGCTTCGGGGGTAAAAGACTACTCTACCCCTAACTTGGCTTGATTTAAGCCGAAGGCCCAATCCAAAGGCCCAAAAGTCCAACTATGGCTCAAGG